TGTGTGTGTGTGTGTGTGTGTGTGTGTGTGTGTGTGTGTGTGTGTATTGTTTTAGAGAAAGCGATGAAAATGGTGATTGCTCAGATTGTGGTTTCCTGTTCTGTGCGGTCTTCATCTGTTTTTGGATTTGTCGAGACGGGTAGAGCCGAAGGGACTTCGAGCGGGAGTGGACCTCTCTGCCCACGTAATTATTGTTTCTGAACAGCAGTGATATATGTTCATTGTCGGTACTGTCTGTAAATTAGTGTCCGTTGTGATATACTGTATAAGCGCTTGCATTGTTGCGTTGTTGCGATCCTTACCTTGGGGGTTGTTTTTCTCTACGGGTGAGCGGTAACCGTTTTTTTCCCTCGTTCTCCATTCCGATCTGCGGTTAATGAAACCACTACTGGACTCTCGTAGTCTTCATTGTTCGAGCGACTTCAAGTGACCGGTCTGTGCGGAAACCGTGTTGATAATGTTTGTCGAAGTGCTGACGAAGTATAGTGTCGTAGATTAGATACCGCTGTTAGAATAGATACTGTTGTTAGAATTGTTATTGTTAGTATAGATAAACTCTTGGTTGTTGGAATAGGTTCCGTAGTTAGAATAGATACTAGATACCTAGTATCTAGATACGGAACCTATTCTAAGAGTCTAGTTAGTATACCGCAGATTCGAACTACGTATCTAGAATCTATACCAACTAGATACGGTATCTAGTTAGTATAGAGAAACTCTTGGCTGTTAGAATAGATACTAGATACTAGATACTACTCTTAGAATAAATAAATACTGTTGTTAGAATAGGTTCTGTTGTTATAATAGATACTGTTATTCGAATAGATTCTTTTGTTAGGATAGATATGGTTTTGTTTCGAGCATAGTTATTGTTGGGATTCTGTTGTTAAGAATCGATTCTGTTGTTAGAATAGATACTAGGTACTTTCGGAAGAATAGACAATGGCATTCGAAGTGCCGTGAAGTGGATCGATCAGTGGTTGGTCGTTCCGTTTTTTGCTTTAGAATGGATGTAAGAAATGATTTCCCATCGATTATACAAGAGCGGTTCCTTCGCTTATCCTGATATTGATAAGAAAATGATCTCCTCCTCTCGTTAACGTCATTCCTTTCGATTAGACAACAACGGCCTCCACGCGTACGATAATGTTGTATTTGGACAGTTGTCGTTGTGATTAGAGAGTTCTCTCGTTGTAATTAGACAGTTCTCTTGTTGGTCATCTGAGTAAAATCCGATTTTTAAGGAATGAATGAATCGTTCTGGCTGCTGATTGGATGAAGAGATAAATCCGTTTAATTCTCTGATTCCTCGAGGAATAGAATAAGATCATTCCTTTGTTCTAAAGGAACTACAGGTACCGTTAGTTTGATAGGCTGATCGATCTCTTGGTGTAGTGTATGAATCGTTGTCTGTGGGTTTAGCTCCACCACTGTCGGCTGTCCGATTTTGGACAGTAGTGGTGTCCAATTTCATGAGTTGGTGAACTTCCGGATCTATGAATGGACTCTCTAACATTTTGGGTAGTTCCCTGCCGGCAACGGCGGTTATTTGGGAGGGGTCCTCCGCCGAACGAACGATCGATGGGATCCTGAAATTGGAGTGTACCTGGAGTTTGGGTGGACAAATCTGGGCAGGGCAAATCTGGATAGACTTGTCTTTTGCGATTGGAGTGCGTGTAGATAGTCGTGCCGAGGATAGCAGTGGAGCGGTCGCGCTCTTAAGATTTTTCGAGAAGCTGACAACTATCCTATCCCTCTCAATTTGTGGACAGCCGACAATGGTGGAGCGAGAATTTCTTCCCCCCCCGCTGTCCTAATATGCGAGGTTGCTGCTCTTGATCTATCCCGTGTGCTGTGTGGGTTGGTAGGCAGTCGGTCTTCGGTAGGAGCACATGGCAGAAACTCTCAGGTCCACTCTCCCTTCTCTGTTTTCAGTCGTCTCGTCATTATGCTTTTCTTGTTTGTGAACGTTCTGCCTTCCTTTCGAGTGAAATAGCATAACTGACGCCTTCATACATAGATAGGCATCAGAGGGCCTTTCCCGAACCGTATGTGCAAGTTTCCTCGCATACAGCTCTCACGGAGGTCCTTAGTTAGCGACTGTAGGTAAGCCGGCAGAGGCTTGGCAACTGCGACCTGGATGGACGCCGTGTGAATGATCAATCAAATACTGTATGTTCTCCATAGGACCCTTTGTGATGTCTGGCATCAATCACTACTATGGTCCCTCCGTTGCCCCCAGTGTTTGCGATTTCGGGAGATCCCGAATTCCAACCAATTGTGAACTTTCTCGTGGACGTTCTGCCTTCCTTTATCTTTTCTCGTGGGTTGTGCATTTTCGCCCTCTCCCCTTGTTGTATGTTGTTGTCACATTCGTCGTCACTTCGTCTAACTCCTGTCTTCTTCCTCCCCCTGGAGGTGGTTCAAGCCACCGCCCACTCTCCTTCCACCATCCTCTCTTCTGTACTCCGGTGCCTGTTCTATTTGTCGTCTGTCCTTTCCTCGACGTTCACCGCTGTTCTCCATCTCTCGTCCCTCCTCTTTTTTCATCTTTTCCTTTTATCTCCCTCTACTCCTTTCCTTCTTCCGCTCTTGCTCCTTTCGACATCCTTCTCGCTCCCCTCCCGTCCTCTCTCTGCCTCCTTTATACTATCGGTCCCCTTCGTTCTGGTGTACGGCACGGGGCTCGAACCCCTCTCCTCTTTCCTCGCCCAGTCCCCTGTTCTCCTTCCTCCGCTCTCGCTCCTTTCACCTTTCTCTTGCTCCCCTCCCGGCCTCTCTCTGCCTCGTTTATTCTATCGGTCCCCTTCCTTCTGGTGTGCTTGTCACGGGGCTCGAGCTCCTTTCCTCTTTCCTCGCCCAGTCTTCATGAAGCCTCGCTACTATCTCCTGTGCTCCCGAGCCGTTCTTGGGATTGCCGATCTGCGGTAGAGAGACGGTTTCTATCCTTCACCCTACGGTAGAGACATTCGATTTTGCACGTTCGAAATCGACAC